AAGTCTTCCAGCGTAGCGGTGGCAGCGTAGAGGTGGCAGCGGTGGTACATCACAGGGCCCCTGATCCGCGACTTGCATGCCAGTGATGCCCCCCGCGGGTTACCATCCCAGTTGCAATTCCACCAGCCAGCCAGCTTCCACCAGCCAGACAGACGGACAGCCAGCAGCGGCGATGCACAGGTGGCGTGCTCAGGACCGATGGTCCGCGCGGCAGCATATGGGCCCAGCGGCCTGGAGCGGCCTGGGCAGAGGGACTAGGCATTGTAGTGATCGGAAGCATTTGTGCCATCTGGTCGGGACCAACCCCCCAAAAGCAGCGGGGACATTCACACTGGGTCCTCCCGGGGCATGGGCGTCAAGAGTCGTCCGACATGTTATTGGTGGCCAGCACCGACGGGAAGGTGGCAGATCCAGGGGCCTCTTGGCATCATCTTAGAAGGCACCCTCGGAGTGCGGAGCCATGACGTTGTGGCCCAAGCGCTATAACTCGGGGAAATTTTTGGTTTGCGCCACCCAGGGGCTACCTGTTCGGGGAATCCCTCCTGCGATCTCGTACAGCAGGCCAGCAGGACTGTAACGGGAAGTGACTTCATTTTTGCCAACTTCAAGTCCACTCTCCGTCACCCTGCCCCCTGCGCTGCTTCTCCTCTCTCTCCATTCCTTTCCCCATATTTTGCAATCCTAAGAACTGCACGCAAGTAGCGGTCGCGCCTAAGCTCCCCGAAGCCAGCCTGGCTACGCGCCCGCTTTGACGAGGGGGCCCCGAAAGCCCCTTTCCCCGACCCCTACTCGGCTCCTATCGCCCCCCTAGCTCCGCCCCCGCCCTCTCTCCCTTCCGCCCTGACCCCTCTAAGCAAACCTTTTCAACCTTTTCACCTCCGTTCAGCAAACCATCCAGATATCACGTATCCCCCTTCCCAGGCTGACGTATGGTGCAAGTATTCGGAGCTGGAGCTGGCTGCCGGCAACCTGCCGGGCCTCAAGGCGATTTTCCAGCGCTGCCTCATGGCGGTGCCCTCCCTGGAGCTGTGGGCCCTGTACATGAAGTTCATTCGCAGATCCAACAAGAGTAAGGTTAGGGGTGTGAGGGCTGAGGAGGAGGTGGATGGGGGCCATGGGAAGGTGGACGTTTATATTCGACTCGGGCTAATCGAAGCCACCGATGGAAACGAGCCAGGAAGGCGCTCCTACAGCAGCCCTGCCGGTGCCACCCCGCAGGCAAGGGCGCGGATGGCGTGGTTGAGATTCGCAACGCGCTGGAGTTCACTTTGGAGCGGGCGGGTCAGGACATCAACTCGGGGCCCTTCTGGCAGGACCTGCTGCAGCTGCTGCAGTCCGCCAAGGCGGGGACACCGGAGTTCGGGGCGCTCTTTCCGCAGGTGGGAGATGGGAGGTGCGGCTAGTGAGGGAGGGTGAAGGAGTGCAGGGCGGAGAGGAAAGGCAGGCGAGGCGAGGCGGCCTGTTGGGGAATGGGGAAGGGGAGTCAAGAATGATGCAAGAAACAAAGGATTAACTGCTAGCGTGAAAAAAGCACCAATGGAGATGGGGGAACTTGCAGGCATTGAGAACAGGCTAAGTGCAAAGGGAGTAGGGGCGATCTGTCTGCCTCTTAGCTTCCTGCTCCACCTCGTCCTCCTCCTCTGTCTCCTGTCTCCGCCAACGTCGTTGCTGTGGTTAGGGCCCAGTAACCTTTTCCTTTGGACGCGCCTCTCTAAAATGAAACTCTTTCCCCTCTCGCTGCCGCTGGCCCCGATTCATAACCATCCGTCTGTCAGGCGATGGTGGGTCAGGAGGACAACGCCCGCATGGCGGCTGTACGGCGTGTTTACCAGCAGGCCGTCACCATACCCCACCACCACCTGGATGGGTTATGGCGGGACTACCAGCGCTTCGAAAACGATGGGCCCAATAAGCAGTTCGCGAAAAAAGTAAGAGCGTCACCGCAAACACCTGCCCATACACACTGTGTCAGATGATGTGAACAGATGGTACAAACGAATTGTGCGCAAGCCGCCATTATGACGAGCATGGTGGCCGGTACGTGGGAGGTTCTCGCCTCACCCACCCGTTCACCTCACCCACCTCGCCCACCTCGGGTCCCACCAACGCCCGTCCAGGTCCTAGATGAGTGGTCCCCCAAGTACCAGGCGGCCAAGGCGGTGTACCGGGAGAGGAGGAAGAGAGCGGCGGTGAGGAGAGGGGGCCCAGCGAGGCCGCTAGGGGGGTTGGGATGTAGAGGAGGAGCGATGTGGACTTGGGGCTGTGGGGTTCGTCCGATGTTTTTCCACAGGTTTCCACAGGATTGGAAAAAACCTGTATTATTATAAAACCTGTATATTATAAATCCCGGCTAGGCACAGGGCCAGTGCCACCACCCCATCGAGATCCCTTTCCGCGTGTTTTGCATGTGCTGCTCAACCCTGCCAGGTGCTCAGCTACGCGCTGTGGCCGCTGCCCTCCGGCAAGGGGGGGTTGCTGCAGGATCAGCAGGCTCAGTTGTGGAGGGAGTACCTGGCATATGAGCGTACTAACCCGCAGGTGAAGGCGTTCGGGGGAATGTAGCGATCATCAAGCGGGAGATGGGGTGGGGGCGGTGAGGACGGTGGTGTATGAAATGGGGGAACGCAGCGGCTGATCCTGATACGGTGCACTGTCTGCGTAGTTCGTCATCAAATTTGGATATGGTACTGTTCTTTGTGCTCTTATTGCCTGCTGGCTTGTTCCCATCGCCTCATCTCCTGGCGCCGGTCTTGTCATCTTTCTTCCCCTTCCCCTACCCTGCCTGACATCCGACTTCGCCCCCTTCGTGGTTCGTCTTTTCCCACCCCCCGGCGCCGTTCCCAGGGTTTGGATCCCCCGGTGTTGCTGTCCCGTGTATCCCTGGCCTTCGACCAAGCACTCATCTGCTTCCTCTACTTCCCAGACGTGAGTCGATGCGACGACCGGGGCCGGGGATAGCCAGGCCTTGGGTCGGGACGGCGCCGCTCTTCTCCTACCCTTCCGGCTATCCTTTCCTAGGGGCGTATGTAGGATTCTCCATATCCTCCTCACGCTTCTTTATTCTTATTCACTCACCTTTCCCGCTGAAATTAACGTCTCTTGGGTTGTGACCGTCCCACAATCCTTATCTCACCAACCTCCCACACCAAACGGAGTCCTCTCCTCGCCATGCAGCACCACCATGTGTAGGGTTAGTTCGCCATCCACGCCAGTATTGACTAATGACGCGAATCTGTTGTCCCCACTGCCGCACCCCGGCTCTACCTGCTGTTGTTGCCTCATGCTGCTGCTGCTGTTATTTGCGCCGTGCTGCAGTTTTGGCTGGAGTATGCGGAGTGGCACACCTCCTGTGGCCGCCCCGATGCTGCCGGATCGGCATTGACCAAGGGGCAGGCCGCTCTGCCGCAATGCCTGCAGTTGCGCATGCTCGCGGCCGATCTGGCCGAGCGTACCGGGTCGCCCGAGCAGGCGGTGGCCATTTATGAGGGCCTGGCGCTGAACTTGGAGCAGCAGCAGGCGGTGACCCGTGGGTCACTTCCGGCTGCGGAGGTGGGCCCGCTGCTGCCCATGACCGCGGAGCAGGGGGAGCTGGTTTGGGTGCAGTACATGCAGCTGTTGCGGAGGGTTGAGGGAGACTTCCACAGCCGCAAGGTACGGCGACGTGGGCTTTCGGGGATTCATGTCCAGGCTGTGGGTTTTGTTTAGGTGCTGGGGGTAGGGCTGTGGCTCAAGGTTAAGGCCTGGGGAACTGGGTCGCAGGGCACCTGATGTAGGGGGCTGGGCCTACGGCTTTGTTCTTCTGCACCAGGGGCGCCGCCGGCACTGCCAGCTTTGCGGCAGAGGAAACATCGGGCCCTCACCTCCCCTGGACTCCCTCTGGCCCCACCACCTACCTCTTGTTTGTTCGGGCCCAGTCTTCCTCCTCAGGCTCTCCTCTTCATCATCCTCTTTTCCCCCCTTTTCCTCCTCGGCCTTATCGCCTCCGCCCTTGCCCCCCATAGCTCTTCTTGCGCGCCCGCAAGTGGCATCTGGGCCTCCCAGCTGGCGAGCACGGCTGCTGGCGGCTGTACGCGGATGCGGCGCTGCTGGAGTGGCGCCGGGGACGGGACGCAGCGGCAGCCCGCAACATCTTCGAAAAGGGTCTGGAGGACACCCGCATCTTCCGGGAACCGCAGTACGCAATTGCGTACCTGGACCTTCTTTGTGGTGGGTGTGGGTGCTGCTATGGCATACCGGGAGGGGATGCTAACGGAGATGCGGTGTACCAGGAATGGATGGGGGGGATGGATGCGGGGGATGTGAGCGCGAGGGCGCGCTCAGGGCCAGGGTTTGTAGGAAAACAGACGAGAATTGATATCAGTGAAGGTAGGGTAACAGACCAACCAATCCCTTCGGGTCGAGCACTCCTCCTAACCTTGCCTGCGCATTCTCCGCGTCAGATTTTCCCTTAGGCTTTCTGCAAAGTGGCCTCACTCGTAACGCCCTATGCAGGACTTGGTGACTTGGACAACGCGCGCGCCCTGCTTGCCCGCGTGCTGGGGGATGAGACCAACGCCAAGTGCGTGACGCTGTGGCAGCGCTACATCGCCTTTGAGGGCATGGTAAGCTGTGCTGCTGGTGGGGGCGATCCCAGAGTTGATAAGGACAGGGCTTGATAAGTCTGGGGGAAAGGTCAAGGGAAGAGGCAGCCCCTGAGGATGAAAGGTTTCAACGGCGATGCCCACATGGTTGACTATCCCCTGAGTTGTAGCTGCAAGACCCGTGCTGGCGCCACGTCACGCTGCCGGCCACGGCACATGCCGAAGCAGGAAGTCCACACACGTGCCACCTTGCGCCGGGAGCAAGGCCAAGAGAGGGAGGGAGTTGTAGCCTTTGCGTTCGTCAGGCCCTTCGCAGCTGATCCGGCGGATTGACTAGCGAGCTCTCCTCTCTGCTTCTGTCCCTCCATTTCCTGCTTCAGTCGGGTGACTTGGCGGCGGTAGTGGAGGTGGAGCGACAGGCGATGGCGGCCCTTCGCGGGGAGGAGGCGGAGCAGCTTAAGTCGGCGCTGCCCCTCATACGGTGTGCGCTTCGGGTTACGAGGCGCTTGAGGCTGGAAGGGGGCCTAGGGGTCATTGGGAAGACGAGGCGCGTAAGAGATTCGCTTTTACACGCTAGAGAGTTTAAATGGCGGCGTGGGTGCGTTCGGTCAATGGATAAAACATCAGAGGACGGCGGGTGAGGGGCGGAACGGCAAGTAGCTGTGGAGATCGGAAAGCGAACATCACATGATGATGGGCATTGGCTGCCTAAGAAAGACTCGGTACCTGCAGCCGGCGCCCTGTCGTGGTAGAGCGCGTGGTCGTGACGCCTGGCGCGAGGTTTCCGACTTCTGACCTGGCCGACCTCGCGCTCGCTATCGCGGTGTTTCCCGCTGTGTGTTGTAGTCCCTTTCCACTCATTGGAGTCCGTGCTGTGCGAGGCGAGCCTTCCCGCCGTCCCAGGCCAGCCTGGACTGCCGCCTACCGCTTTTTCACCATCGCCGGTTAACCCGTCCTCACCGTCCCCTCCTGTGTGCCACACCCCGTCGTGCTGGTTTGGACAAATAAAGACCTGCGGGTGCTGCCGTCGCAGGCGAGACTTCACGTTGTTACGCGCCCCTGCCGACTTACGGCGCATCTTGGGGCTGCCGGCCCCAGGCCACGGCGACGGAAGCGGCGCGGTTGGGGGCGGCGGCGGCAGCGGGCCGCCTGGCTCCAACATCCGGCCGCCCTCCGCCTACACCTACTCAGGCGCGGCGGCTGCCGGGCAGGAGCCGCAACCGCTGAAGCAGCTACCACCTCAGTTGGGGCTCTTCATCAACTCCTTGCCGCCACCGCAGGTATATATGTGGGGGACGAGGAAGGGGGCCGGTCCACCGGCTTGCGGTTACGAAGGCTGGAAGTCCTTACACGGCAAGCTGCCCTGTGTGCCTGCAGCATGCCGAGCTTATGCTGACGTGTTCTGTGCCATAGCGGGCCTCCTTTCCTTCTTCTGCTTATGGTTGCCTTTTGGTTGTATGCGTTATCACAGAACCTCTATCTGCCATCCACCCCTGCCGGCCCCCTCACCGCATTGCTCTTCCTCGTTGCCTCGTTTCCGCTTCCTAGCCGCATCATAAATTTTCTGCATTGCTAATCTCGTTACGCGTGTTGATGTAAGCGACAACATGGCACACGACCGGCATGGCTTCCATCCTGTCGTCGACATACCTTCGTATTCAGCTCTGCTCCATCATGCATGGACTTGCTTCTCCGACGCCCTTCACCCTTGTGGTGTGGCCCCTGCCCTTCTCTCTGGACCCCGTGTATCCATGTACTTGTATTTCCTTTCTGAGAATCCTGTTATGGTGCTTTTAATCCTTTCAAGGTTTATTGTCAGCATTTCATCCTTTTCTCCTTGCATGGGATCTTCCCTTACCCTGCCTTATCGCAACTCACCCCCAGGCTGTGGAGGGTATCGTGCCCGATGTGGACCAGGTCATTGAGGCACTGCTCACCATGGACCTCACGGCAGGGACTGTGCTGCAGGTGGGCTGGGGGAGTTGGGGGGGTGTTGTGGGTTTACCGTCTGTGATTACCCTGTGTGTTTGGAGGGAGTATCTGCATCATACCCCTGTATGTACACGAATGAAGCCAGCCAGGCTCTATCTTGAGGAATAATTACCCGCGAACTGTACGTTCTTCATAGTCTCCTTCCTCTCATCTCTTTTCAACCCCCTTTTCTCCCTCGCCAGGTGTGCCTGGATCTGGAGTCCGGCAAGACGTTGGCGCACATGGGCCAGCCGCAGCAAGGGGGACCCCCACCCGACCAGCCGCCCTACCCGCATGGCCATCCGCATATGCAGCAGGAGCCTCCGGGACCGCACTTCGGCAGGTGGGTGGCTTGGGCAAGTGGCTGCCGGCGCGGCAGGGTGTGTAATTGGATGTGAGCCGCATCCTGTGCTGGGGCCCGAGGCTCCTTCATAGCCCCATGTGGTATATCCGCTAGGCCACACCAGGCACCTTCCCAGCTACGACCTGAAACCAATTTGAACTGAGTCCTGGGCCCCGGGCTGGCCAACAGGGCGCTGCCCTGCGGCCCTTTAGCGTCCTCTGCCGCGTGGATGTTGCCCTTGATCTCCTTCCCTTCTGCGCCATCGGCGAAGCGTCGGTCGCCGTTGCTGCAGCTACTGCTGCTGCTAGCTGGGCACCGTTGGCGAGCTGACCTCTCATAGTCATCATAGTCATCACTTGACTAAATAGTTTTATGTTTTTATTATGCTATCATCTGCTGATTGAACATTCCCCCCACCCTTCCATGCAGGCCGGAGCCAGGGGGGCCGCCGTACGGCGGTCCGCCGGGACCCTACGGGTACGGCCAAGGGTCCCCCGGACCGGGACCGCGCGGTGGTGGCGGTGGCGGCGGCGGCTACTCTGAACCATATGGCGATGGTCCACCGGGCGGGCCTGACGAGTACGGGAAACGACGATATCAGTACGGCTACGATCCAAGTGGGTTTGGGGAAATGGTTTGTTGTGGAATGCACGTACACCGGGGACTTGCCATGGGTCTTTGCAGTAGCTATTGTTTCCCCTTCGGGTTTCAGGGTTGGTGGAGTCTGTGCCGGATTCTGGTGATTGTGACAGCGGGCCGTGTATTTCATGTCGCTGCAGACGAAGGCGGTGAAGATGACGGTTATGACAACGGGTACGGCGGCGGACGAGACTTATACCACCAGAGGTTACGGCGGCGGATGGACCAATGACAACGGAAGGAGCTGTTGCTGCGGCTGCTGCTACTGGCCTGCGAGGATGCACTTGGGCTCCCACCTTTTGACATCGCATGCTGCTGCCTCCTTAATGTTGGGTGGCCTTTCGGATGGGGGGATGGATTGTCGCTGCGACAATGTCGCACCGCGCCGTTGGCGGTGCCTCCACCCTCTGCTTCGCTATGCCATTCTCCACATCTCTCTGTGGGTAACTGCGTTGTGCAATGGTTCGGTGTGGCTGCAGCCGCACGGGCTGTGCTGCGTACTGTGTTCTATATCCGCGTTGTTATTTTCCTTGCCGCGCGCGACAAGAGCTTTTGCCTCTTGTCGCCGAGCTTTTTACTGCCTTGTCTACTCCGCCCTTGGCTTCTGCCGGGTGAGCAAGCCATATATTACTCGGTCTCGGCAGTCGCTGGGCCGGTCGCTTGCGGCTTCATTAACTTCTGACCACTTGATGATCGTACGGACGGAACCAACTTCGCTCTTTACTTTTTCGCAAGGACTGCTGGAAACTTCAGATCTAGCTTCTGGACGGGTGCTTGTGACAGGAGTTTGACCAGGACTTCAACAAGTGAGTCTCAGTTGCTTATAGGCGCACATATGAAGCTGTAATGGAGGGGACCCGGTGAACACAGCTAGCTGCGGCGGCTTGTGCAGTGGATATTTGGCAGGTTGGCAGTAGGGCGGGAGGTGGGCCGGCGTCTCCTGCGTCAACAGCCTGTCAGACCAGTGCCGCTAGCGCTGGGCTGGCATCACGCATATGATGCCTAACTGGATTTTGACGTGTGGGATCCTTTGCTTGTCGCCACTGCTGAATGAAGTGTTGCGTGGCTTGGGGCTTGAGGTCCTGGCAGAGAGTTTCTGGATGTGGAGGCAAGATCAAACTCTGCCACTCAACCGGCAGGCCCGACATGGTACAGTACTGAAGGGAAAAGGGTGTTATTGCTTCTGTTGGGCGCTTTGGAGGTGTCCAGGTGATATGCTGTTTTAGGGCTTGCAATGCTGCTAGCGAGTCCGGTTGTGCGGGTGAACGTAGTGCCTAGCGTGTGGCGTTACCGCGGACGGTGTCACGGATTGTTAGGCCATCGCATAAGAGGATGGAGAGTGCAGGAAAAGTGCGATGGCGGTGTGGTTACAGACAGGAGTTACCTACCCTGCTCTGGGGACTGTGGGAATCGGCGGCTAGTCCCACTCCGCACCGTGGATAGCCGGCTCTGTTTCCACCCACATGTCGGGGATCAAGCGAGTAGCAGATGGTGGCAAAGGCGGCTTTGGCAAAGGCGAAGGCTGGGAGGTGGGTGGCCAAGGTTGCGCGGGAGGTACAGCAAAGCAGCTAGCTATCTTCGCAGACTGCAATGCTCGTGCACTGCGCGAATGGTAGCAAGACTGGCTGTTTTAGCTGGGATGAGCATGACACGATGTTCATGTACATGCGGGTTTATGCTGTGTTTCGGTGGTCGTTGAAAGCAGTGGAAGGGCCAAAAGGTAGGGTGTCTTTCATGCAAGAGGTGCTGGGCCCGCCAACGGCTTGAAAAAAGCGGTCCCGATGGAAACAGCGAAATGCCATCGCGCTATCGCATCATGTACAGCAAAACACTCTCAGAGGTCCAAAATGGATATTCGCTCTATCCATCTATCTTGGAAGTGGCCGGAACCCAGGGAACTCTAAAGTATGTCCACTTTAGCCCGTAAACAAGACCTTCTCATTCTATAGCTGTGCATAAGTTCGTTCTTCGCGTCGTCGCCTGGATTGCAGGATATAGGGTCCTTGTGCAATACAACCGACCTACTAAGTATATTATACAATATTATAGAGATTCATTCAGTGACGTTTTATGGCCCTCGTCGTACGCTTATTCTTACCTATTGGACGTTGCAGTCCAGGACGTTGCTTTCCCTACTTCTAAAGTAACCAAAGAACTGGATACACAAAACGGTTAGGAATTGTTTTTCAAATGCCGCCAACCGCGGCAGCACTATTTTAGTTGTAGCTGGCGATTGCGATCTCCTGCAGCCGTGGGCACGACTTTTCTCCTCCGCTCAGCAGTCAATCAGGCACATCTTCACGATGAGCCAGGTTCCAGGAATTGGTGCCGGTGGGAAGCGGCCACGATACGAGGAGGGGGAGGGAGAGGATGGGGGTGACGACGGATGCGACGATGTGGAGGAGGAAGACCAGGATGAGGGGGAAGGAGACATGGAAGAGGAAGACGAGGCAGTAGACGAGGGCGAGGAGGAAGAGGAGGAGGATGGTGAAGAGGACGTGGGAGAGGGAAAAGAAGAGGCCGGTGCGCACAAACCTTCACGCAATCGAATCCAAGCTTCAGGCTGGAGCGGTGATGGCAGGAGCGGCGGTAGAAACGCTTTTGCCATCAACCTTCGTCCTCGAACCCGGAGTAGCAACCGTGTAGCAGGCACGGGTGATGGGGCCGCAGATGGCAATGCCGCAGCCGTTGCTGGTCCTGGACGCAGTGGTAGAGGCAGCGGCGCACCGGCGAATGTGGAGGGTACTGCTCCTTATATACAGCCGAAGGGCCCATTTCGGTTGAAGGTTGGCAATCACGGGATACTTTCGAACAAGGAGGCCTTTGTAGCCGCCTTCCCCGAGGCAGCCGCTGCTGTAATGCGCGGTGAAGGGTCCAGGCAGGTGGATGTGCACTGCAAGGTCGGCAACATGGAGACACAGCATACTGTGCGGCTGACGCGAGGCAATTGCGTGGCCGGTGTCTGCTTCGGCCTCCGCGCGTGCTCTACAAGATCTCTGCTAGCTGTCCTGCGCCTCAAGGTGGGGGACTACTTGTGGCTGAGTATATGTGAGGGCGGCCGGGTAGTTGCGGAGTCCGAGAGGGAGCTTGATGGCCACATCGTCGTGATCAGCGAGAGTACCCTGAAGCGGGGATACATTGCCGTGCCCCTCTCCTGCATGGAGGATCTTTTGGGACCAGTTGCTGCTAGGGAGGCGGGTCAAGTCATTCCGATTCAGCTGCTACTGCCGCCAGGGGCAGCTGCTCCTGACACCTGGGGGAGGCTGAAGGGCTACAATGCAAAGATGTATCCCGGATGGGCAATCTACGGGCTTGGTAGCTGGCTGCGGCGGCATGGAGTTGGCCCCGGTGATGTATTCCAGCTAAAGCCTGTATGGGAGCCAGCAGCAGAGTCTCTGTTGGCGCTCGCAGCGGCAGCGGCGGAAGTAGCAACAGGAGGTCCTGCACGGGCCGGAGACCTGGTAGCGGTCGAGAACCCCAGGCCCCGCGGCAATGAACTCTACAGGGCCCAACGAGATCAGCCGCTGGAGCACTTTCAGGAGCAGGCGCCTTCTATGACTCGCCGCCGCCACCGGGCCCTGGGTGCAACCCTCAAGGCAATCCAAGTCCGCTGGCTGCGTGCTGGTGAAATCCTGGGAGGCCTGCAAGGAGGAGCTGGTGGAGCTGATCGCACAGCAACCACAGGGGGCGTCGCAGCAGCAGGAGCTGCCACTTATCAGCGAATGCCCGCCCAGCAGGCAGCGGCTGCTGGTGCTGCTGCACAGTTGGAACTGGCGACACGTGACGAGGCCGCGCCAGTGGGCAGCAGCAGCAGCGCCTCACAGGGTTCCCTGGTCACGCAACAAACGCTGGCAGCGGGCACACAGGCACCATCGCCACAGGCTGCAGAGCGGCCGGCAGCACCGCAGTCGTGTCACGTGACACAGGTGCATGTGAAGTCTGAGGTTCATCACCTACAGGAGCAGTTAGGGGCCATGTATCCATCAGCGGCCTCAGGAGCAGTAGCTGCTGCTGGTAGAGCACCGCCCTGTGCCGCAGCCAGTTGGTTGCCATCAGGCGGTGTACAGGCGGCCCGACGGCACGAACGCCACGACATGCCCAGGGCTTGGCGGAATGCTGCAGCTGCGGACAGCCTGGTGGCCGTTGCCCAGCTCGTTGCAGCAGATGAGCATGGTGGCGACATTGGAGCAGGCGGGGACCCTGCCGATGCAACAGGAGGAGACGCTGGTGTCAGCTTGCCTCCGACTGATCCTCAAGACGACGGTGGGGTTGGCAACCTTACGCAAAGCAATCACGACACGGAGCAGAACCAGAAGCCGTCGCAGCAGCCTGTATCACCATCTCAGCCGCAGCAGCTGCTGGAGCTGTCACTGCAGCCGCAGCAGCTACATTTGCAACAGCCACAGCCGCCACTGGTGTTGCAGCCACACTGCCCGCTGCATGTGCCACAAGTGGTATCCCACAGCCTTGCAGGTCTTTCCGCCGGTCGCACCATCCTGATGCCCTCTTCCGCCGCCGCTGCCTCCGTCCGCTGCCTGCATGGTTGTGCTCCTCGGGGCACATCCCCCTTTTCCCTGCCGCCGGGTGCTGTGCGACTCTGTGGGGTAACCTATGCCGCCAGCCTGGCTATGGGCCGCGTGCTTGAGGAGTGGGAGTCAACCCACACAGAGCTGCGACGGTGGATGGCGGCCGAGTACCAGATTGAGATGAGGGTGCCATACGACGCAGGCAGCAGCAGGCCAGCAGGCCTGCTGAGCGGCCATGGCAGCGGAGCCATCCTCAGTGCACGTGGCGGAGGTGGAGGTTTTGCGGCCCCAGTATCGCCCTGGGTTGCTGCCTTCCGGAGATACCGGCTGGACGCGTTTGCAATCTGCTACGACCTCAGCTCACGTCTGGGCCTGGTGCAGGACCCGTCGGTGCCGCTACCCGAGGGGCCCATTGAGCCGCAGCAGGGGGTGGAGGTCCGGCAGGATCCCCACCGGCCTGGTGAGGTGGGCCTGTTCGCAACTGAGCTCATACGCCCCAATGGAGTCATCTGCGTCATAAGTGGCTACGTCATGCCGCAGAACCCTGAAGGTGCGGACTTCTGGCAGCAGGGGTACGAGTCGCTGCGACCTGATATACGGCAGCAGCTGCAGCAGCGGATGGCCGCATGTGGTGTCGAGGATGAGAGACTGTTTTGGCGCCTCCTAGCCGGGGCTTTCCGGGTGGCATTTCCGGGGCATGAAGACGGCCAGGCGGCGGAATCTGAAGGTGGGTAACGTGGCATGGCATCCATGGGCGGTTTATGTGTGTGTGTGTGCGTGTGTGGTGGTGGGGGATCCTTATTACAGTGAAGCAGAAAGGGAGCAGAGACGGAGACTACGGGGCACGCATGACGATAAACAGGTTTGTTGCTTGTGTATAAAATGTCTGCAGTGTCTTTCGACAGCGTTTGACCGGCTCCTGGCCTCGTTTGGCTTACTGCGTACCGCAGACGCGCTCAGAAGTTTTGTTGCTGTTGTGAACGTCCCCGCCCACAGATGATCCTGAAAAGCAGTGGATGGGTTTTGCACAGACAAGCAGCATGCATGGCTATTCAGAGAACTAAAATGGTTGAGGTAGCGCAACCTCACTAAGAACCGCTTATAGCACCGCTTCTGAATATCTTGGGACCCTTCCTTCGTTTAGTTTAAATATAATGGCAGCGCCAGGCGGTTGCCGCACGTACACATACGTATATATACTATGTTTTATCCCCCTGTTGCACACCGGCATGATAGGACTGCCTCCCCTGGAGCTCCAGATGCTGGGTCACGGTGGTACGGCGGCTTACATTAATGACCCACGGGTCAACGCATGGGAGATTGAGCATGAGGACGGCCCGCAAGCGAGTGGCGAGGGCGCAAATTGCGTGGTAGGATTGCGGGAGGCAAGGAGGAGTACCGTACTGGGCGCGGGAGGTTGTTCTGGGCAGGACATGTACGATATTACGCCAACTGGCTTACAGCTGCTTTGAGGGTTGGGAATTGAAGGCTTCCTTAGCTTGGACGACATTTTCATGACGGAATTCGCATTTCAAAAAGCCTTGTGATGTCAACTCATGACACGGAGGCGACTTTGCTGTGCACGTGTGCATGTGGACTACGGTGCACACCCCAGGAGTATTCAGTGTTACACACTCCTGCCTGCTGCAACAGGTGGTTCCTGTGTACGTCCGCGGTGTGCCCCTCCCGGTGGTGGTGGCGCTGCGGGACATTCAGCCTGGAGAGCAGCTGCTCAGGGACTACGGTGCAGAGTGGTGGTGCAAGCAGTCCAGGCTGGGGAGGGTCCTAACCAAATCCCTTAGGGTGAGCCTTGCTGCGGTACTGCACGACCCAGGCGACTCGGAGAAGTTCCCACCATCAGGCAATGGCCCCTCTGTTTCTGGCGGGCTCAACCGCTTGCTGCAGCCGCCACTACAGGAAGATGAGCAACGGCGGGCGAGGATGGTGGATCAGCAGCAGCAGCAGCAGGCGCGGCAGCAACATCACGAGGAGGACGAGTACGGCTGGCATCGTGCCCATCACAGCAGCCATGACGTTCACCATCACCATGAACACCACCGCAGGAGCCAACGTAGCCGCAGCTACGACCGCAGCCACAGCTGCAGCAGTAGCCGTGACCGCAGCTGCAGCCATAAACGCAGCCGCAGCCGTGACTACCGCCGCCGGTCACGACATCGCCGCCACCACCGCAGGAGTCACCGCTGCATGGATCGTGACTACAGCCGTAGCCATAGCCCTGACGGCTGCCGGCGCAGTGATGACCGTGAGCGGAGGCGGCAGTCGGAGCACAGGCCTTCAGGGGGCCCCTCACTGCCCATGGCGGCCGAGTGACCGGCGGCCACAGGATCTCATTGAGGATGCGGTCCGGGTCGGGTGAGGGGTTTGGACCAACAGGGGGTCGGGTGGGTTAGGGAGTCTCCGGAGGTGCATCCTGCTGGGTAGTCGGCTGATGTGAGCAAGATAGGGAGCAGCAGAGTCAAGGAGGGGATGCTGTAGGGGTATTATGGGGCTGTTAAGATGCAGAGTGCGTGGAGCTTAGGGTCGGTCAGCGTTCCTGCAGGCCAGTTGCAAGCGGTTAGATGTTGGACAAAGTCAAGGAGGGCTGACGAGGCTGTCGGAGTTCAGTAGGGGTTTGGTTGGGTGGTAGGGAGTGTATTAGTGGGTGCTCTAGGAGGCAGCGTTTAATTAGCTAGGAAACGCACCGGGCAGATCTGGACAGTAATCCAGTCCGTAGGTGGCTAGGCCAGGAGTTGGGCCTTATTGTATGACTAGATCCAGTTTCCAGGAACATGGATGATGGATTATCCTCTGACAACTGTAGTTGAGTTGACGTTATGGGTGGCATGCCAAGAACGAGTGTGACAGTTACGGGAGCTGTACGAGGCTCGCACGGCGAGAGGCTGGCCACTTTTCCTCAGCCTGCATTATGCTCGACGAGACTAGCTAGCGGTTTCCAAGCAATGCTCATTAGACTTCCAGATGGGCCAGGCTGATCTGCGCATGCTCCTTCCTATGTTCGGGCCATTCACCTTGACATGGTTAATGTTCTAGGACTAGAGCCACCGACTTTTTTCCAAGGGTTCGTCCCCACTTCCGACACATGGAAAGGTGGTGTTTAAAAACACCGAGGATTTGACGTGACATAGAATATGTATTATAAGCCAACTTAAACAGCTGCAGAGCCGTCCTCAGCCTTGCCCTTGGACTTCTTGGGAAGGAGGACTGCATGGATGTTGGGCAGGACACCACCGGACGCGATGGTCACATCACCCAGCAGCTTGCCCAGCTCCTCATCGTTGCGGATGGCCAGCTGGATGTGGCGCGGGACGATGCGGTTCTTCTTGTTGTCCCGAGCAGCGTTGCCGGCCAGCTCCAGCACCTCAGCGATCAGGTACTCCAACACAGCGGCCAGGTACACAGGAGCACCAGCACCGATACGCTCCGCATACTTGCCCTTCTTTAGGTAACGCGCAATGCGGCCAACTGGAAACTGCAGACCTGCCTTGGCGCTCCGGCTGACGGCCTTCTTGCCGGCAGTCTTTCCTTTGCCACGACCAGCCATGTTAGTCAAAGTAAGCAGTTGAGAAGATGAAGTTTTGAAGGACCTTCAGTATTATGCCAAAACTAAAGTTCTTTTTATAATTGTCACTACAAGCTCAGTGGGGCAACGACCCGACGTACAATGTCGTTACCGGTAGGCCGAGCAAGCGTCGCCGAGCCAAGCCGCTCTTATTATATACAAAGTTCACGCAGCAAGTCCTAGGTTATCACTTTTGCAATATTTTCAATACATCATATCTGTACTTACATCCACAATGGCCAAGAAGGACGAGAAGACCGCTTCGCAACCGGCTGATGCTGCTGAGCCCAAGGCCGATGCCAAGCCTAAGGCGGCAAAGGTGAAGAAGGAGAAGAAGGCGCCTGCGAAGAAGACCGCGAAGGAGCCGGTTGCTGGTGGCGAGGAGGGCGACAAGAAGGCTAAGAAGAAGGCCAAGGTCGCCAAGAGCGAAACCTACAAGCTGTACATCTACAAGGTGCTGAAGCAGGTTCATCCTGACACCGGTATCAGCTCCAAGGCCATGTCTATTATGAACAGCTTCATCAACGACATCTTCGAGAAAGTCGCCACCGAGTCATCCAGATTGAGCCGGTACAACAAGAAGCCCACCGTGACGTCCCGCGAAATTCAGACGGCAGTCCGCTTGGTACTGCCTGGCGAGCTGGCCAAGCACGCGGTTTCGGAGGGTACCAAGGCTGTCACCAAGTTCACTTCCGCCTGAGATAAATTGGTGGCTCTGGTGACAAACCATGTTGCGGTATCTTTCATATCACGGTGTTTTTCAACACCACCATTGACTCCGTGGGTTTGTTTATGCCTCGTTCCCATCTGTAAGTTATGCGTTTTACTCGATGCCAGGATTTGAAACACCCACAAGCTTTATTATGCGAGTCCGACAGGGGGAATTGTCACGATGCTGCTTGTGACTGAAACAGAACTCGTCACGCTAACGACCAGACTCCCAAAGCACGCCGGGAAGGACTCCCCAGGGCCATAATGGTTTAGTCCAAACACCTCTAGCCGGACGCAACCACTAAGCTGTCATGCCACCTCTGTGTGTCTGTATGTGTGTGTTACATGGTCGTGGGTGCGTTCCCCGTACCCAATACGAGCCGAGGGCTCAAGGGCTGCCAGATCGTTATAAGCGCCGTTCTACCTCGTACAATCAATCAACGACAGAGGAGCAGGATGAAGAACGCTGTGAAGCGGCAGGATACCAATTAGGAAGAACCATATATATTACGTTTTCACCCCTGCAGCGGGCCATACCACTTCCACATCAAACCTGCAATGGTCCATCAGGATACTTGTGGAGCTCGAGCACATGTACCGCCACCTCCTGTAGGAGGGCTGTGCTTCCCTCTCATCACTCATGTCAGCTGCTGCTGTTGCCACTGCCGCTGTCGCTGAAGCCGATGGTGATGCTGCAAACAATATCATTAATCACATCATTGCACTACATGACTATAAATGGAATATATCGAGCCTACCAGGGATCGAACCTGGAATCTCCGGTTCCGTAGACCGGCGCTTTATCCATTAAGCCATAGGCCCTCATGTCGTAATCATGTACTACAACGCCTAAGTTATACATAGTTATACGGCTTAAAATAATATAAATCTAGCACGCTGCTACTAGACGGAGCTCCTAGCTAACGAAAAGCATCCTCCAGTAAAGACAAGTAAACCCGTATGCCCTAGTGGGGGCATACGAACTTGCATCAGTGATAGCAAGGGAAATGGGACTGCTCGCTTGGGCTACTTATCCACGAACAAGTGCATAACAAGCAGTGGCTTTAGTTTCTGCCTTATGAATGTACTACTACATGCTAGTACTAGTACATACTAGTACTACTATCACCATGAAGTAGTCCAACTAGTACTTACTACAACACGAACATGTTAGTACAATTACTATGCACCTCAATCTGTGGGTTTGGTGTGGAGCCGTGATGTTATGCGCACGTGATAAGTACAAGGCCTATGGCTTAATGGATAATGCGCCGGTCTAGGGAACCCGAGATTCCAGGTCCGATCCCTGGTAGGCTAGAGAGTATACGGAGGTGCAAAAGTATCCATGTGGAGTACAAACACATCGACTATCTCCCAGAGCAAGGCTGGCAAATCAGGCATGCAGTGCTCTGACGCCTTGTGCTATGGGGGGCCGGAAAGATCCGCAGGTCCGGAGGGCTGCTTGTGATGAACGGCCGGATGAGAGGGACCTCGATGGCCGCCGAACTTTCCCTAAGGGGGAGGCAGGCGGTAGTATGACCGATCTGTTCATAGCGACTCCGCATGTGCTTCAGCAGTACGCCACCTTTCCGAGGGTGGAAAATCTGGTCGTGTTGGATGGTTGACTGTGTTAACACCAGGGCACGGCCGGAGGATGCACCAAAGGTTGGAAACGAGCGAGTGTCCATCCTCCTCGATGCGGATGCCTTTAGTCTTCTGGCAACAATACCGGGGCGCATGACGGAGCTGCTCAAAATCGTGGACATGTTCTGAGATGAGTTTGGGATGCGGCCAAATGCGTCGAAATGTGAACGCCTCGTTTTTGCGAGCGACAGCGACACAAGGAGTGCTATTCAAGCATCGTGTGATGAGCTGGCTGGTGAGACTGTACCGGCTAAGGAGAGTGCACGATATCTGGGGTTAGTGTACGGGCCAGAACGGCCGTTTGGGGCCTGCCGCTAGCAGTTGTACGACACAGCTAGGGCAGCCATGTTCGTGCAAAATTGGATAAGCTGAAGTGATTCGCCCCAGATGTGAGGATGACTTGTTTTGATACGCATGTGCTAGCAATACTGTTGTATGGCTGTCAGGTGTTTGTTGTCAAGTGTGGGGACCGTTTTTGTTGGCTGAAGTCTTGGACAGGCTCAGGAGGCGGAGTGATGCGGAGGGGCCCCTCGAGGCATGGCTAAAGGACGGAGCGGTGCAGCTTCAGATATCGTTCATGCGGCAAATAGTGGGAGCTGCCAGAGCAGCACACCGCTCCTGTTCGCTGAATTGTCACGGTTACCCCTCCACACTACCACGTTTTCAAGCAGATTGTGAGGTTTTGGAACCGTGTCCGTTTACAGCGTGCGTCCATGGCACACCAAGTTTTGCGACAGGAGGTCGTAGAGTCCCTCTCCAACCCCGAAGGGGCCGGATGGGGGGCACTACTCCTAGGTTTTCTGGGGCCCAGCGTATGGAAAGAGGCTCCGCAAGGGTTACACGAGGTAGACAAACGCGTGGAACGGCTAATGAGCAGGCCATTGCCAGAAGGTGTGACATTGGCGTTCAAGGACGGATTGATGAGTGGTTGGACGCATCTAGGTGTCCAGCCAGACGTGTACCCGCAAGCAACCAGGAATTCACATGGCGAAAGATAAGCATTGGATGGGTCTGGCGGCCGAATAAGGGGGCAGGAAGGAGGTGCTCCCGTATATCACAACGTTTATCCCACGTTCAGCGAATCGCAAGCTTATGCAGGTTAGGCTTTGCTGTTGGGCATTGGCGGCTAACAGCGCACGCAAGAGACGGCGTTATATACCGTTATCTCTGCTGCGGCACTGATCACCGTACTTAGAAAATGAGGAGCACGATTTGATGGACTGTCTGGCGAATAACTAATTTATTTCAAGATTTATCAATCTTCCAATGTCTTAGACCTTCCAATATATGCAGATTTCGTCTGATATTGCTATACAATGTGCCACCGGGTAGTCGAACCCCGCTCTTTTGCTTGGAAGGCAAATATCCTACCGATGGACTAGTGGCGCCACCCTGATGTGTCAGGGTTAGTATTCCTGGAGTATATATCTGTTTGCTTAGGTAGCAATCCGTGCTGGAACATTACCAGTGGCCATTGAACTCGAATTTATACCCATCGATGCAGCCCCCTGCTCGAATGAAGAAGCTGACACCTGACTTGCCGCTCAGAGCCATGCACACCATCGTTAATACGTCTCTGGGTATGCATGCAAGTTCTCAGGGTTGCTAGGCATACCCTGTCAAGAGCAGCAAACGGAGCACCACTTCTGACTTGAAGCCATGCTACGGTTGCGATGTTTATTGGTAGAAGCCTCACAGGAGGGGGAATGAGCCGCAAGGCAACAGTGCCAGGATAGCAACTTTAATGACTTGAAGCAGCACTTTCACATCACCACACGTCATTCCTGATCGCCAGGCAGTTCCTGTTGCGGTTGTGGTTCTTGCAGTCGATGACTGGGCTGACAGGCTGTAATTTTCCACCCTGGGTGACAGATGGGCCTATTGACAGGCGGCCTATCAACACCTGTCAACCGTGTGACAGTTCTGCTACTTTAGCCAGGATGGCATCGGCACCACACCGTAGACATGATCGTCCAGGTGGAAGCCCGCTCCAGCGATGCGAGGGTGCAGCAGCTACAAAGCGACAACAGCAGCGGGTACACCTCAGCCCAGCTACAGCAGTGGCATCATGTGCAGTGAAGCGGTCATAAAACGGAACCCGAGCCTTGGTGTTGACACTGGCATGTATGGTGGCAGCATCAGCTCCACCACGAGGGGTCCATGGACTCTGATGGGGTCCACACTCTGGCATCAGCCATCACAGCCGCGCTGCAAAGTGTACCCATACCCCAACCCCAGGCCACTAATGCTGACTGCTGCTGTGCTGCTGTACGGTTGTGGCCACCCGGGCCCGAGGTCATGGTGGTGGTACCTGCACCTCTCAGCTCACGAACAGCACCTGGGAGCTGGCCCCTCTGGCCAGTGCACCCTAGCGGGCTGCTGGGTCTTCAAGGTGAAACATGCATCTAACGGCAGATTTGGGCGCTATAGGTGCACCTGGTCGCCAAAGCCATCCAGCAGCATCCTGCTGAGCTCTTTACACCTAGCATGCGCTACACAGCCATGGTGACAGCTTAGCAGCGCACAGTTCACCAGGCCGATGTGAAAATTACCTTCCTTAATGGCAAGCTGGAAGAGGAGCTATGGATGCATGTATCGCCATGTCGGAAACCGTTCATCGAAGGATCTGTACGACACCGATTTCAAGGTTTCAGAACCTCCTGTGAAAACTACCTTTGCTCACGGGAAAGTCAGAGTCGGGGAGTTAAAGCTCATTCGCTACTCAGGATCGGGGCACAGTTTGGTACTGTGGCCGGGGCAGTGCCGGCCTAAGACACTCCTTTCCTACTTTCATAACCTTGATTACAACACATTGGGCCTAAGTGGGCACAACGACAGCAGTAACAGCAAGAGCAATGGCCATGGCCGTCAGCATTGGTGGCCTGGGGTGGGGATATGAGTACACATGGTTTCGGTTCAGGACGTAAGGTTTTGTCACAACCCCAACATTGGCTGGGCCCCCAGGAGATACCTTACATCTCACAACATGGGCTTCAATTAGGTTTCCAAATCAGTTCAGTCTATCTTTGCGTAGTCACATTTGCCGACCTACCTATACAGGCAGAGGCAGGCAGGCAGAGATGCCTGCAGATGGATGCAATTCAACCCTTCCTGGAGGAATCGTCGGATGAAACTGAAGCAAAAGTTATCACCAGCGAAAGCGCCGTTCTCCAGCTTTCCAAACGCTGTATCTATTTGCCCCTTGCCAATCCGGGGTGCCAAACGCCGTTGAATAAGATTCAGGCCAGGTCAACTTCGCTCCAAAAGCTTGCTCCGGCATGCAGACCAGCTGCATCAAGGACAGGACATGAAGAGCACCACAAAATCCAGCGGACTAAAAGCCACACCAGGTCGCAGGAAAACCTGGTGCAGCCTTTAATCCACAACCCCGCCCGCCGGCCAACTGACCGACCGATTGGCCCAGATGAGGGTTACCAAAGCACCCTGCGGGCCCCACAACATGTCACCTGACACGTCAGCTTGCCCACAGCGTTTTCTAAGCACACACACACACACACACACACACACACACACACACACACACACACACACACGCGCGCGCGCGCGCGCGCGTGCGTGCATGGAGCCGAATGTCAACCCTGAGCCAGTTGCCTTACACCAACTTCCTTCATGTTTACAATGAATACCTGCCGATTGACCATGTGAGAAAGGAAGAACGGACCATATACGGCCCCAACCCACCGTCGCCTGAGAGACATTGAAACACCGATACCTGGGGGAAGAGGTGAAAAGCCTAAGAGCCGAAACAGATTTGCTACACTCATTCCATCCAGCAAGGCACCTACAGCCCTACAGCTACACGGGAGGGTCAGCACTGGAGGGGAGGTCCGCCAAAGCACCAGCCCCCAGGAATCCCGAACCCAATCCATCCCAACAGTGCATAGCACAGCACCGGAATCCCGCTCAGACGGCCCGAAACACCCTACCGGGGTCCCAGGACCCGGCCAGTCAGGGCCTTGCACCGCCGTTAGGGCAATCACTCGTACAAACAACCACAACCGCAACGGCAACCCAGCCCTACCCTGGCCGTCCTGAAGACAACGTCACCAGCACCTGACGAAATCAAAACCTTCAAACCAGCCACTCCAACCCAACTACTCCTCCATCATATTCATGCTCCTCTTCCTCATCTTCCCGCATCACAAGCTACTCCCGTGCTTCTGCCGCCAGTCTGCAATGATTTTCCGCAGCGCGTAGTTGGGTGTAAGGCCCGTGTGCGGCAGCACTGCGCCCGTCAGCGGCGAGGTCGGCCGACCCGGCCGACCCGCGAACCAGCGTGCAATGGCATCTCGCTCGTAACTGTGCCCATCAGCCGCCACCACCGGGTCCTCCATCAGGTCTGTAGTGATGGGACATAGAAGCTCTTCAGGGGGTGTAGGGTGTTGGCCGGGGGACCCCACAGCGCCGGTGCCATGCCCAGCTGATGTGGCAGCAGCAGCCGCTGTTGAAGCCAGCGCTGATGCCGCAGATGGGGGCGATGACGAAGTGACTGCGGCATGTTGAGCTGGCGGTTGCAAGGACCACTGCGGAGGGGCATCCTCTGAGGAGCGGGATCGGCAGGTTCCTGTCCCAGCTGTCGCCGCCGGCGGTGCTGATTCCGCCGCCGCCGCCGCCGCCGCGGCCACCGATGGCTCTGGGTGGAAGGGGAACGGCAGCGGTGGCGCACTGGCACCTATGAATGCGTCCCCGGACGGGGATCCCGGCCCTGGAGCTGAGGCTGTCACCGCCGCCTGCATCTGCAGCTGAAGCTTCAGATCCGACAGCGCCGGCAGGACCTCCCGCTCAAGGTGGTGCTGCAAGGTGGTGGAGCTGCCTGCGGAGGCAGTTGCCGCCGGCGTGGTGGGCGATGGGCCCCGAAACCAGTCACCGCTGGCAGCGGCGGCACTCCCGCTGCCACCGGCGCCACGCTGGGCGGAGACAGCATGCGGCGCCTGCACTGCAGCATGGGGCCCCGTCGACCGGGCCGGTTGGGGCCCCTCCTGCTTGAGGCCCCAGTTCAGGAGCGAGTAGACGGCCGCCAGCAGAGGCCAAGCCTGGTCCTCTGTCAACGGGGGCGCCACGGAGGACGCCAGCAGGCGGGTGGGGGCCATGTCTGCTAGGGCTCGCAGCACCGTGCTGGGAGGGGGCGCTGGCGAATCGGTGCCTGCTAGGACCTGCAGGTGAGCGGGACGTGTGCGGGAAGGGTGTGCGTGAGAGGCGGTCATGGGGTCATGCCGTTGAGCGCCGCTGAGTTGCTGGGGGGCATTAGACTTGGGAGGAACGGCGGCGGTTGTGAATAGACATACAGACACACACACATATATGCACAATATAAATATATAAATAAAGCACACGAAGGTCTTCATGGTTCTTCGGCCCGTGTCGACCTTAGATGGCCTAATACTCCTTTCGGTGGTTACACATACCACAATCATTAGCAATGAAGAAACCAACGAAGCAATATCCAGCAACCCATCACGCACGCATACGGGGTGCGCCCCACCTGCATCACCAGCTGTCCCACAGCGCGACCCATGACCGCATTATCCGTATCCACCAAGCCCCTGTCGGCGGTGGCCGCCGCCACCTCCGGACCTATCGCCGGCCGGGGCGCTACCTCCGCCCGGAACCCACACCCTGGGGCCAGCCAGCAGTGCGGGCCCCGCTCACTACAGTAGCGGCCACCGGCAGTGGCAGTGGCAGTGGCGCTACCTGCGCTGTTGCGTCCTGTTGTGGCACTCTTTTCGCTGTCGCCCTTGCTGCCGAGCTCCACCATGACGTGAACCGCTGACAGCTCTCTGCAAGGGAGGGAGAGGGCGGTGAGGGGGGGGGAGTTTGGCACAGGGGAGAGGGCAGTAGAGCGCAGTAGGGCAACACGAAGGAGGAAGCGGCAGATGGTGGCGGAGAAGAAGGATCTATGTCATTTTATTGCGTTACAGTAAGAAACTGACAGAAGAACTGACAGGACTCTGTCCGTAGGCCCCTCACCTGGTCGAGATCCCCAGCTGGAGTAGCTGTACGACAGTGGAAACAAGCTGTTGACAGAGGGTCAGACGGGCCTCCCAGCTGCTCAACGCACCGCCGTACCGACCAAAAGATTGCAGCGCCTCTTTCAGGTGGCACGTGCCCCGGCGCTGCTCGTACACGTGACATGCAAGTCGGGGGCAGCAACCCAAGTACGGCAACACGTGCGGGAGACGGCTACCGGCGGATATGAGCGCCGCGCCGGCGGCCGCCTCCTCCCAAAACATCTCCGCGTCTGGAGGGGGTTTGACGGCACAACATGGTGGCGCGGTGTGTGCGGGCAAATCACCGCCACCAAGGGCAGATCAACCAGTGTCTCTCAGAACCCGCCAACAGCGGGCAAGATGGGAGGAGCTCATCCCCTAAAGGGGAACCGAAGGGGATAGACATACACACACACAGACAAACATCAAAGACTTTACAAAGAGAACGGCGACAGCGCACCTTACCACATGTTGACCTCTTACCTTACAAAACCCCCTTTTCGCTTTTCGCTCGCTGCTCGCTGCTCGTTGTAATTGATTTCAGACGTTGCGGATAATAGACACTGTTTCCTCTACCCTTTCAGCACACCACCCACCGCATAACGCATTGCGGCTGTCGGTGGTCTTGCGACTAGCTAGAGAAATAGCAGCTGGCCAGTATGATGCCAAAAATACTCTTGCTATCGGTTGGTGCAATATAATATGGTATTCCGCATGCTGCTCCCAATCATTCATCATTGCAGTACGATTACGAGGTCTCAACTCTGTTTGAACGGTCGGCGGTGGGTTGGACGGTCCTACAGGGGCCTCTAGGAAGCCGCGCCTAAGACGTGTTCGTCCCTCCGGTTCCTGCGCCCCGGTACTGTTTCTCCCTTCGCCGAACTCCCCCCTTCCCCCCTTCCATCACACACACAAACACACACACACACATAACCTCTCACTCGCCAGACCGAAGCATGGGATGTGAAGAGTTGTTGTCTCTGAGAAGGCCGCGCGACCCGGTTCGCCCTCAATAAAAACAACTACGCACACACACACAGCATGTACGACGTGACTCACCCTCCACGCGATTGAGTGGAATCTGCCGTACAACCACCCGGGTCGCCCGCAGCTCCGTCAGGTACACGATCATGCCGTGCTCCGTGCCCAAAACTCGGCGAGTAAAACTCAGATCGTCCGTGGCGCTGCGTATCTCCCCCTCCTCGTACTTTGGTACGGGACAGGGCCGATCCATGGCCTTATATATGGCCACCTGCTCCTCAATGTACTGCAATATTGTTTAATAGATGGAATGAACGAACGAGTGGACGCAACGGACTCCCTCAGAACACGAGTAGCCGCAATACAGTCTAGGAATAACAACGTTCCGGCCAGGCGGCCCAAAGCAATATCCCCTTTGTTGGGGCGGCCTATAATCCTGGACACTACCAACCCACCACACATCCCCCGTCCCCACCCCCACACATCCCCCGTCCCCACCCCCACCCAGGCCCACCCCCTCCTCCCCGTCCCCCGTCCCCCTTACCGCCTTCAGGGTACGCAGGAACCAAACTGCCGCCGGCGCCAGGACGTAGCGGTGACACAGCTGCACCACCGGAGCCACACACCAAGCGGAACCCGAAACACAGTCCGCAGTCCACACGGGCAGCCACCGCGTCACCGACCCCGGGGAGGGGCATCCCAGGCAGGGGGGGGCAGGGGTTTCAACCCACAGAGCAGTAGAGGGTGAGTAGCCGGTGACGTCGCCGGCGGCAGCCAATCACCCCTCCGCCCCCTCCCCCCCCGGGGCACTCACACAACCCATGAGCCCCTCTTTCACCTGGAGTCCCGTCCACGCTGTCCCCACCACGCGCCCCAGAGCCGACCACACCGCTTGCCCAGACGGCTGCTGCGGCCCCTGCAGCTGTTGTTGTTGCTGTTGTTGTTGCTGTTGTTGTTGTTGTTGTTGTTGCTGTTGTTGTTGCTGCTGCTGCTGCTGCATCGCGCCCTGCGGCGGCTGCCGGCCCAAGACCCCACAACACGTGGGAAGTTTTAAACGTTTGAATTCCGGCGGGAAAGGCAGATAACCCTGTTATATGGTGGCCACCAGTGAAAGGTAGCAGTCAGCGTCGGCTTACACGCCGTCGCTGGAATCCCCGCCAGTCCAACCCGGGCCATGTACGGCGGTGCCATAGAGGAATTTTCCCGGTTGACGGGTTTCATGCTGAGCGCTTTAATCGCCAGGAAACCCCCCTCTCAACGAGGGCCCCGGTCCAAGATTCTCTGCAAAAAGCGTGCACTAGATTGCAGTTAAGCGCTTACCGTAGCATTGCGGCTGCCGCCGGTGCTGTCTTTCAGCGGGCGTCCCCTGTCGTGCCACGGCATGGCTGCGGCCTCTGAATCCTTGTGGGAGAGATGGCTGCCGCGGGCAAATTAAGGGCGGATGGGGCCCCTCGCAACTGCAGGGCCCCTGGCAACTGCCGCCGGGAGCCAGCGTGTGTGCGGCACAAAGCTTTAAACAGGGTTGTGTTGAAATTACCAGCGCTAGCGAAGGTTATCAGCCTGGTTCAGATCCCAAAGCCTCTTTAATTTGTTGTTTAAGCCGGGTGGCGCGTCACAGGTCACGTCCTGACAAAGGGGTGGCGAAGTACGGTCGGGTTTGGGAAGGCAATGAGTAGCGCACATAAAAAAAAGTAAGTACATCAGCAGCTTCAAGGCGTAGTGCAAATACGTCTTCAAGTGCCATGCTCCGGGACATGCTCCACAACCACCTGTTACCAAGAAGTCGAGAACGTAATGATCGACGAGCCTTCATATTCTTTCCAACCCCAAGAGAACCGCATATAGGGCAGGACTATAAGGCGTTTGAGAAGAGCAGATGTCATGTCCTATGGACAGAAGCGACCTTCAAACGGACAGCTCAGGCGAAAAGGACCCGTTTGCTTGGCCTCCGCACCTATTACAGCTAAAAGTGCATATGTTGTTCAATCTATCAGGGACAATCACCTGTGGAGGTAGGGAAAACGAGAACTTGACAGGAGTTACCTGTGCGCTGCTCAGGATAGCCCTAACAGGAAAGGTCCATACATGATACTGTATAACATCTCTCCATAAGAGGGTTTGCAACCTAGACCCTAGCTGCGCGTCAGCCCCAGCCAGATGCGATGTGTCTGCAGACCCACAGACCCATGCTAAATACGACGAAGTTGTTTTTAGTTATTGCTCGGTTACTATTAATCAACCTTTACACACAATACACTGCATACGTACATCAGCTAGTTGAAGTAAAGGTGCTATTGCAAAGCTTCGCAGCACGCCACAGTTGTCAACCACTTCCGTTCGCGACACGCGGACTCCCGCGCTTTATTAAAGGAAGCTACCCTGGCACCAAGAGGCAATATGCCGTTTCAGGTGAGGAACATTGTGTATGGCAGGGAGAACGATGCCGCTTCGGACACCTTAGGGACTGCTCGCGCATGCTCTGCTAGCGAGCTGCTATGCTTTGCTCTGACTGCTGTTTGGAACTGCCTTGGTGACCCACGACAGCCTGCCTGGCCTTACAAAAGGCCATTCTATCAAGCATCTCTGACCAAGCACGAGATTCAGGTACGTAAACGACGCCGGCGGGTCCCGTAGCCAGGCAAGGCGGCCGGACGGACGGGTACATTGATAGTACATCTCCAATTGCCTAATTAACACTTAGATGCTGGGAAGCCCATCGCATGTATTACTTGCGTTTTAAAGGGTGCAGGGCTGACCAGCTGTGTCGCTATTGCTCCTTGTGTCCTCGGTGCGTAGGCGGATCTTTCCTACATACTTTCACAGACGAAACGAGAACCGCGACAGCCAGGAAGATTTCAGGACCAGGCCCCTGGGTCCCAACGAGATGGGAAATAGGCATGTCCCAAGTGGCAACTGCGCCACGCCAACGTTTGAGTTTCATGCATAATGTACAGAGTCTACGTAATGGAGGTTACTGGATTTTCGTTTTCAACTTAGCCATCCCTGTTCGCTTCAATAGGGTGTGGTCTTTGCGTCGAAGGCCAGCCCAAACTTGATTTTTTTGACGATGATTGATTCGCATTTACTTGACTGGATCTTCGATAGTGTGTAACGTTGTTTGCCTGTGGTTCGAGGAACTGCCGTGTGTTTGGGCGTATGGAAGGCACGCGAACAGGGCGGGCGGGATCGCTTGCTTTCAAATCTACTGGCGCTTTATCGCTCAATGTTAAGCTTTGTAATATTACTTGTGTAAAATCACACTCCTGCTTTCCTCGAAAACATATCGGAAAAAGGCTGACGGAAGGAACATTCAACCTTGCATTGTCCAGCCGTACTTTCGTCGTACAGCCATCACCGCCAGCAACGCACATATGCCAAAGTTACGTAATGCGGTCGCAGCGTTGCAAGCAAGCACCGCAATCTACGCTCTGCAAACCGAACCACAACTCATCGTAAATAAAACGCCCTCCGCCGAGCAGCACGCCGGGTTGCTCATGCATGAAGATGCCGTACGCTTGCCTTAAGCTCATCCAACCGCTCCCGCAGCTTCCGCTCCTGGTTCGATCCCTTACGGCACGCCATTAGCCGCATCTCAAGCCGTGAAACCCGCCGAAGCCGCGCTCGAAGCTCACGCAGCTGCCACCCCACCCCGTCCTCCTCAGGTGCCTGCGTAACACCGCCCCGCTCCGCAGCACTCGACCCTCCCGCGAGGGGCCCCTCAGCCGCTCCTGAACCTTGGCTGACCGCCACCGCCCTCTCCACGGCCCTGGTATACGCGACACCCGCCGCCGCCAGAGTTATGGGGGGAGTCGCCGTCGCTACCAGCGCCGCCGCCGGCGCGGCCAACACACCCACACCAGCTGCTACAGTTGCTCCTGCTGCTACATCACCCATATCGCCATCAGCGTCACCCTCCCTATCGTCCGCCCCAAAGCGCGCGGCTGCTTCCGCCACCGGGGTCCTTACACCGCGGCTGCTACTGCCGCTGCTACTGCCTTCCTGCACGGACACAACCCGCTGGTGGACTTGCCCTGCCGCCGGGGCCCCGCTGGCGGCCCCCTCAGCACCCGACCTGGCGGCAGCCGCCGGCACCACGTCCCGGTAGGGTGGCGGCGGCCCTGGCCCAGCGCCACCACCATGACCGGCCCCAGCCGCCGCCGAAGGTGCTGCACCATTTGGCTCGCCGCCGCCGCGTCGCTCGCCCGCCTTGTCCCGAAGGCTGATCAGCAGGCGCAAGTGAGGAGGGAGCATGGCCGCTGCCGCGCCGCCAGGCGCCGCCGCCGCCGCCGCCGCCGCCGGCTGCGGCCGCAGCTGCGGCGGTCCCTCATGCACTGCGTCTGGATGCGAGGGGTCCAGCAGTCTCAGCGCCAGCTTGGGCCCATGCGCCCTGTGATCCGCTGCATTGAGGCGCACGGAGACGGGCTGCCATAGCCGCACCGCCCACACGATAGAACCGGTGCCGGCGTCGGTAATGGAGACCTCCTCCGATGTGCCGCTGAGCCTGTAACCGATCCAATCAGGTGCTAGGGTTACTGCTATCCAATTTGTTTGCTTAAAGGCGCCACAAAGCTTCTTCTTTCCCTGGTGGACAGAATATGCTTGGCTTTTACTGTGGTTCTACTGTGGTTTTACTGCTTTAGAAGGTGGATGGATGGGGGAGAGAGAGGACGTGTGTCTAGGCAGATGCGGATGGAAGAGGGTGCTGAAGACCCAAAACCAGGCAGAACCCCACCGGCAAGGCGAGTGATGCCAGAGAGCGCTGCTGCTGCTGCTGCCGCCTCCTGGTCGGGGCATGTCTTCACCATGACGACTCATCCACCCGCCTCCCCAAAACCCTGACCCCCGTGGCACACCCGCCAACGCGGCTAGCAACTACCGTCGTAAACAGTTCAACCGTACATCCCAGGTCTCCAGAACTAGTAGACTGGAGACGCACTGGAGAGGTGTACAGCAGTGCCGTACCTGAGGCCCCTCCGCTCGGCCGCCAGGAAGGGGTCCTCCTCCGCCGCCGGGCCCTCGGGCTGCCCCGGCCGCAGAGGGGGCCGCGGCAGGCCCCGCCGGTCTGTGAGCGCCACAGCGGCTCGCAGGTGGTAGGAGGGGATGAACAGCTCCAGTCGGTTGCCGGTGATACCGCACACCTTCGCAGTGGGGGGGGGGGCAGTGGGACAGCAGTCCAACAGCCCCAGCGTCTCCAGACGCACACGCACACGCACGCCAGCTAACCCACCCAACCCATCACCACAACACCACCATAACAACAAGACGGGGCGGCGCTATGCCCTGGGCCAGAAAGCTGTTGGGACGGCAGCCCCCGATGTGGGCCCCCGTAGCGATACACTGCGAAGGACAATACTAAAGGAACGGCTCGGGCATTTCCATGCTCTGAGGTCACACCTCTAGCACCCGCCGCCCTTGAGAGCAAAACCAGTCTCCAAAACACCACCCATCCCCCCCCCTTGCCCCTAGGTCACCCCACCTCTTTGCCACTCCCCACCCCCCCAGCTGCCCATGTCCCCTCCGGCCCCTCCCCCCCTTGTATCTCACCAGCGCTCTCTCCACGTGCGGTCGGGAGTGCAGCAGCAGTAGCAGGTACAGCTCACTGCACTCCTTCTGGGCAGCTTTGGCCTGCCTGTGCCGTGCGTTCATGGTGGCTGCTGCAGCCGCCAGGTCGGGGTGCAGCTGCGGGGGAGGGGATCCGGACAGAGCCGCCAGTAACTGCCGGTGAACCACCACGTCCGCATACCTGGAGCAGGGTGCGGTTGTCGGTTGAGGTTAAAAGGTGGCGGTAGCGGTTGTACGGCAGCTGTGGCAAAATATTGCCATTGAAGTTGGGCTTTGGGGTTTCAAGGTGTTGCTCGGCCAGTGTGTGTGCATGTGTGTGTATTTATGTGTATTTGTGTGTATTTGTGTGTATTTGTGTGTATTTGTGTGTATTTGTGTGTATTTGTGTGTATTTGTGTCTATTTGTGTCTATTTGTGTCTATTTGTGTCTATTTGTGTCTATTTGTGTGTTGCGCCTGTATGTCCATGTCGGCCCGCTCCTATAGCTCTCTCCGTTACGGACCCTTAGGGAAGCTGTACGGCAGAATCCCGCGGCTGTAGTGCTCCTTTTCACCTGCGGATGGGCGACGTAAAATGCGTGTAGTACTGCAGCGCCAGGCCGTAGTGGTACGACAACGGTGTGCCGGGCGGCGTGGTTCCGGAGCTGTTGTACTGCGCCTCCGACATGGCGCGCGTGGCCAGGCTCTTTATGAGGGTGGCGGCGGCGGGGTCGGTTGCGGCGGCGGCGGCGGCACAGGCCCGCTCCAGGGCGGCTGCCAGGGAGACGTTGGAGGAGGGGTCCACGGTGTCGCCGCCCGAGTACGGCTCGATGAGAGCGCGAACCTGCGATAAATGCACACAGGAAAGGTAGGTAGGTATGTACATACGTATCCGGCCCCTGGCCCCCCCTTCCCTTCCCTTCCCTCCCCTTCCCAAGGCCCTCCAGCCAGCGGACTGTTACCTGCTCGAAGGCCTGCGGCCTGGGTGGTGGGTGGTTCCGGAGCAGCGCTGCTCCCGGGAAGGCCATGGCAATGCGCTCTGCCACCGCCGAGTTGGCCGCAATCATCATCTCCGCCACCACGTCCATCATGTGGATCTGGTGGGAGTTGGTAGTTGGTAGTTAGGAGTTAGGCGGGAAATGGTTGGGGACACGGACAAGGTTTAGGGAGTGGTTCGAAGCGGCAGCTGGGCGCCAGGCGGGTAGGTGAGTACGGCAAAATGGCATGGCGGCGGAAGGAGCGCTAGGGGGGATATGACGATAACGATTGGCGCTAAGGGGGGAAGGGACAGAGACAAACACACACGACGTGGCACACGCGCGTCAACGTGCGTGCGGGTGCGACTATTCCCCGGGGAAGGGGTGAGGGGTGAGGAGGTTTGGGGGGAAAGACCCGGGAGGGCGGGAGACAGGGGCCAGGGGGGGATGGCTGGGTTAGAACAATACGACAGGAACAGACAGTGGTGGCTAGGAAGAGGAAGAGGAAGAGGAATCATCTTTAAAGAACGCGGTGACGGCGTCGGGCTACAGGCTGCGTCGCACCCTTATGATCCCCCCCCCTGTCCCCAACCAGCGCCATCCCACACGCCCCCCCCGCCACTACCTCGCACACCCCGGGGCCCCCTGGACACCGCTGGCGGCTTGAAATACTTCCACACACACACAAAATCTGTTATCCGAATGTATCGACCGACCCATCAGTCCATCCTGAATTCTAGTTACAAGTTACAAAGCACACACTCAGCCACACATTCATTCACGGTACATTATATACGAGGTACACTTCCTTCCTTCCTTCCCACCCCCTGCTGTCCCCTTTCCGCTTCACCTTCTTCTTGCTCTCCACCTGACAGGGGGCCCCGGTGGCGGGGTCCGTCTGGAACCGCAGTTCCGCACTAGCCAGCTCTAGAGCTCCACAGCACACACGCCGGGAGCGGAGCTGAGCTAAGAAAAGGGGGAGGGGGGAGGAGGGGGAGGAAGGGGAGGAGAGGAAGGGGAGGAGGGGAGGACGGGGAGGAGGGGAGGAAGAGGAGGAGGGGGAAAGAGGGGGGAGGAGGGGGAAAGGAAGGGGAAGAGAGGGAGGAGAGGGAGGGGAGGGAGAAGTTTAATCAGATAGAGGAAGGAAAGGGTAATTCCCTTCTCTCCACCTCTTCCCCCCAGCCCGTTTCACCCCGTCCCCACTCACCCGTCAGCTCGTCCAGCACCTTCAGTGCCCCCCGCAGCACCGCCACGTGGTCCGCAGGAAGCTCGTCACCCGGGGAGGCGGGTCGCCCGTCAAGGATGTCCTGGGCCTGAGGGAGCAGGGGGACGGGAAGGGGGGGGGGAAGGGGAGGGAGGGGAGGAAGGGGAGGGGGGCCCGGAGCAAGGGGGTTGGTGTTGGTGTCCAACGAAATGGAAACACGCAGATCGGGTCGGCTCCTGTACGGCTTCTGTACGGCAATGCCCCAATTCGAATCGTACCTCCCATCTGGCGAAAACAAGTCCCCGTGGGGGGACACGCGGGCAGGTGCCAGCATCTAATTGGAAAAAGGGACAAAAGAGGTTGTCGGGAGTTCCGATCACCCACCCACACAAATACACACACTGGCAGCGTAACCGGATGGCCCTCCCGCCTCCCCCCTTCCCTATCTCCCCCCCCACACACACACACGCACCTGCTGATAGTGCAACTGGTGCCGGCTGCAGATTACCGTACGGCCGTACCACACATCCTTCACCTCGTGCTCGTACTCCCGCCCCTCCTCCGCCGCCGCCGGCCCTCCAGCCTCCCCATGCGGCCTCGTCGTCCTTGGTCTCCGTCGCATCGTCCAGATCACACTAACTGCCAACCGCTCAACCCCCTGCCTTAACGAACATAACTGCTCGGACAACAGCCCGGGTAGCATATCGAGGCGCCGGTCCACCAAGTACACGGAGGTGCACCGGTCCCGAGCCTCGCCGTCCAGCATGCCGCCAGCCGCCACGAACCAGCTGACGTCAGCAATGTGGACGCCGACTTCCACAAGCTGATCACCCGCTGCGTCGGATGAGCTGTCGTACAAAGTGGTGCTGCCGTACATGGGCTTGGGGGGTGGCGGAAGGGCCGGCAGGAAGCGGACGTGCATGGCGTCGTCGACGTCCGTACAGCCCACCTGTATATGTGTGTGAGAAAAGGGAACGGGGTACGGAACGCCGGTATGCATGCATGTATGTATATGTGTACGTAATGGAGGCCCCGTATGGGGCTGTGGTTCATCTAACAGCAATGCTCAAACTGCTAAACTCGTCCGTCAATTTGTTCCGCCCGCTTCCATCACATACATCAGTCGCCTGTATGTACAGCGTTGCTCAAGTTGGTAGAGCACCTGGGCTAGAATTCAGCAGATCTGGACTTCGAAGTCCAGAGCCGGCATCTAGGTTGGTTATCGAGCCCGGGCGGCGGCGGCAGACTTTTCAAGGATGGGATGGCGATCGGCACCGGTGTGAGTGCATTTTGGTAGATCTCGCAGTTGTAGAGTGTGCGTTCGGTGGAACGGAGGTTGCCTGGCATCTGAACTGGTGTGTATGTAGCTGGCTAGAGGATTCGAACGGTCGTTCACGGTTAGGTGCCCCTGGCCAGTGTCCGGCCCCGATCAATATGTAACAGATACACATACATACACACATACGTAAATGCATGCGTACATGCATACATACACACATACGCAAATGCATGCATACAGTTGGGCATACGCACCGGGTCGATGCTAACCACGAAGTACTCGGGCGCGGTGAGGTCCCGCCGCGTCGCCCTCTCCCGCGGGGGCACCCGCCACTCCTCGGCTCGAGACACACGGGGCAGCTCAGACAGCGCGGCATCGCAAAAGGGCTGGGAGGGAAAGGGAGCGAGCCACCGGGGGGAAGAAAATGAGAACTACCTTTCCAAGGCGAAGGGAAAGCGGGGGAGGGGGGGAATGTGAGCGAGGCGGACGTAAAAGGGAGAAGGAAGGGAGCGGATTTTTAAAAGGGCGTGTACAGAGGGAAGGAAACATACAAAGCCACACATCGTAAAGACTGAGCAGAACATGGCAAGAGACAGGAAATCGAATACAGGGTTGGACGGAGGTCCAGGCTGGCGAGGGAAAGGGAAAAACGTGGAGCGTCGTACATGCCGTACGATTTTAAGTAATAATGTGGGTAGGTTAAGGCTAACTACCAAAGCCACATGCACAGCTCATGCAGTAAAGGTCCAGGGGGCAGGAAGCCCTGGGGGCCCCCCAGGGCGACCACAAGCACCGCGGTAGGGAGATCAGCCCTCCAGGGGGGGGAGAACAAGGCATATTATATTTTGCTGTGTAATTTAGGATTCGCGGGAGATTGTGTGTGTGGGGTGGGGAAGGTAAGATGAACCACTCATGATTAAAGTAGATACCAGAGATAGACGGATAGAGTCCAGGAGAGGAAAAATACTGCATCAGGAATATTTATAACTGACCAGTGATGACTTGAATCTAGAGGGGGAGGGGGAGGGGGAGGTGCGGAAAGGAACGGTCTCTGTGTGTGTGGGGGGGTGGGGTGGGGGTGGCTGGCGTAAGGACCCACGGGTCACTCATTCGGTCCAGTTCGTTCTGGCCTTGGCCCCGAGCCACAGCTGGCTCTGGCACCCCCTCCCGCCTTTTTTTGGTGCCCTTTCTTCCCCTCCCCCGGCCCACCCCTCCGCCGACCCCACCCTGTGGCTAATGCCACACTGCACCAGCACCGCCTCGCTCTCCGCCCGCAGGTCGTTGAGGCGGCCCAGCAGCCGGGTGACGTGGCCGCGGGGGTACCTGGCGGGGTACCGAGGACGTGGGGAGGGGGGTGGGGGAGGGGGGAGGGGAGAAGTAAATGACATGTGTATACAGAGCAGGCGAA